GGGAGCTCAGAGTTGCGAGAATGTCTTCTGCGAAACAGGCTGGAACACCTTGCGCACGGCATCTCAGAGCTCAGAGTTGCGAGGATGTCTCAGGCGAGACGGGCCGGACCACCTCGCGCAGGGCATCTCAGAGCTCAGAAGTTCGAGGATGTCTCAGGCGGGCTCCCAGGGTCCCAGGGAGGATATGTAACATGTGGTCTTCTGGACCCCCAGGCTGGACCACCTCTTGCGCGGCATCTGGGAGCTCAGAGTTGCGAGAATGTCTTCTGCGAAACAGGCCGGACCACCTTGCGCACGGCATCTCAGAGCTCAGAGTTGCGAGGATGTCTCAGGCGAGACGGGCCGGACCACCTCGCGCAGGGCATCTCAGAGCTCAGAAGTTCGAGGATGTCTCAGGCGGGCTCCCAGGGTCCCAGGGAGGATATGTAACATGTGGTCTTCTGGGCCCCCAGGCTGGACCACCTCTTGCGCGGCATCTGGGAGCTCAGAGTTGCGAGAATGTCTTCTGCGAAACAGGCCGGACCACCTTGCGCACGGCATCTCAGAGTTCAGAGTTGCGAGGATGTCTCAGGCCGGACCACCTCGCGCAGTGCATCTCAGAGCTCAGAAGTTCGAGGATGTCTCAGGCGAAACGAGCCAGACCACCTCTCGCGCTGCATCTCCGAGGTCAGAGTTTCGAGGATGTCTCAGGCGAAACGGGCCGGACCACCTCGCGCAGGGCATCTCAGAGCTCAGAGTTTCGAGGATGTCTCAGGCGAAACGGCCCGGACCACCTCTCGCACGGCACCTCGGGGCTCAGAGTTTTGAGGATGTCTCAAGCGAAGCGGCCCAGACCACCTCTCGCGCGGCGTCCCGGAGCGCAACTTTTCTAGGATGTCTCAGACGAAACGGCCAATCCCGGCCAACACAGAAACGAGAGTTGTGAGGATGTCTCAAGCGAAACGGCCCGGACCATCAAATTTTTGTGAGAATGTCTCTGCTCCGATTTCCCTCGGCCGGAGTTAGCTTCTATCACAACAGCACCCCGTTCACCAAGCTGTTTGGGAAAAAGGTTCGGATGGAAAATTGAATCGGTTGGGCACCAAAGCCGGCCTGACCAGCGCCGTAAGGATGGGAACCCGAATTTTGACGGTAGTGGGCCAAGAGCGCACCACAAGTACAGTTTCTTTCGCTTACAGCTGAACGCATCCCAACTTCTTCCGTCTACGGCTACCACTCTTTCTTTTATTCTTTTCTATCACGCTTCGGACCGCACAGCTCCTCACCGAAGGTGTTTCAAATAGTGAAACCACCACAGCGGAGCTGGGGCTAGGCCGACCGCCAGCTCTTGTGGGTATCGGGAGGGTGGAAGGCGAAGGGTTGACGCCAGCTTAAAGGCGCTTGCCACGACGCACCTCCGTTGCACGCAGAGAAGCAGACAAGATTTTGTAGGCACGCTTGGAACTGTTTCACGGTACCCTGCTCAACAATGTTGTGTGAAAGTATAGTATACACACGCACAGCACCGAAAGCAGATCGATGGACATATTCCACAGAACGAGCTGCTACGTGATCCACAAGATGCTTGAAGTGACGACGGGAGGATGCGGAAGAGGAGCGGAGAAAACGAGGACGAAGAGGGAGAGATAGGTCAGGAGCAAAGAACTGCTTAAACACACCCGGGCCCTTGCCCAGCGCCGTATTGTAGATCAGTCTTGAAATGGCGATGTTTCGGCGGAATGCAAGAGGCTGCAAGAGGGCATCCAGCTTTGAAATCCCAATGGCCCAGACAAAACGGTGCTAGACACCATACAAAAGCAGGAGGGAGGATAGGGAAGCGTGGAACACGGACGGTGTTCGATATCCTTGGTACGATAGCACGTGATTTGTGGACAAAAAACACTTAGTTCCCGCGTTGAATACCAACGCTTGTAATTTAATATCTGCATCGATCTCGAATCGTCCTCACGAGCACAACTGCCAATCGCTTCATGCATCAGCAACCTACAATACATGACTACTCCTAAGATCTTAAGACTGTCTCCCCACAGGAGACGTTTGAGACAATATGTGGTTGTTTTCTTGTTCTGGCTCAAATGTCACACCGTTCGCGCGACTCCATTTGTGCAGTTCTTGCCCGCATACACCCAAATGGACAAGATTGTGTTGTCATCGATTGCGTTGTTGAAAAGCTTAAATGCGTTCAGATCGTCTGCAAAAACGAGTTTTTGGAAACCGCTGTTTCAGATTGGATCCTTGGCGTTTGCATAAAACTCGTCCCAGAGGCTAGGACCAAACACGGTACCGTGGTACACCATGTTTGCCAGTGCAATGTTTTCTGAGACTGCCCCATTGGAAACCACATGCGCCGATTTAGGAGCAAGCCAATCGCTAATCACAGAAAGAATACGAAGATGGGCGCCAGCAGAGGCAAGTTCGGCATTGACACGCGCAGCAGACACTCTATCGAACGCTCCGGCGGGCGACGTCAGAACAGTAAAGGGCCGCACGCTGTCCGGCACCGAAAGCACGGAGCCAGATGAGCGTGAAGAGCAAAATCGCATCATTTGCACCCCTGCCAGGTGCGCAAGCAAACTGAAATTCGCCAAACGAAAGGTCACGGTGAAAGGAGGGGAGGAATTCTTTTTGCAGATGAAACACTTGACAGCTTTGCTGAACTGGGAAGTCAGCTGGGGCCCACGATAAATAGTATTCGGCTGATGTTGCGAATCACGCTTGTGGAGAGGATGAATTCAATGAACTTTCCAACATCGAAACCAACGTCCATTGTTTAAAATGAAACGCACAACAAGTACGAATGGCACTGCCAGTTCAGCGCAGCAGAGACGAACATTAGAATTGGCACATGATGCGATCCCGTGCCATTGTAAATTCGAAAATCATCCCATATCTGTCGTGCCACACGGAGGCGGAGAGGGGGAAGCGGGCGAAGGGGCGAAAGCGAAGCAGCAATGGGAATAGGGGAATAAGAATTGAATTCCAGGGGCGGCACGCGCCATTTCGATTGGAAACCCTTCGCAAACAAGTTAGCCTTACCAGTGGGATCCACGATCCACGACATGGAGGGGTGGCGGAGGGGGAAAGAGGATGGTTGGCGAATTTTGGACATAAGCGCACGCGAAAGCTACCACCAGCCATTCGACCCCAATCGTAGTTGCTGCGGCGTTGCTCGAGCGAGCGCAGCATGATCAAATGCTCCATGTATACATTCAGAATTGCAAAATGAATCGTTACATGTTGCGCAAAAAAACTTTTAAACCGAGCCCAGGTCATCACAAAATTCACCCATGCCCGATCGGCAACTAGCTCCACCCTGCCGCCGAATTCCTCTTAGCTCATCCAATCGAGAAGTTCTAGGAGGTAACTCGCAGCGCCATACCCGCGCCGGGAGCAATCCCGCAGTTCTCGTCGGAGTTCATTGGGGGTTCCTGCGAATTTCCTTTTCCCGAGATTGTAAGCAACCGAGGCATCCTTTCCAGCGTTCTGGCAAGAGTCTTCCGCAGGCGTTTCCCGCGTCTTGGACTGCATCGCTGTCCGGGTTTGGGGTGCCACAGGTTTTTGGGCAGCCTCTTGGAGATGCGGGGGGCTTCGGAGACGACTCCTGCCGGCAAGGCTGCGCCAGCTTCTCCCCGAAGCAGCCGGGCGGGCATCCACGAGGCGGGCTGCTCGAACTCGCAGGAACCCCAAAAACGTTTTCCTGCTCGTTGCCAGCAGGCGCGCTTGAAGCCATTCCGCGGGCCCCCGCGGCCCCCACGAAGCACTTGCGAAATTGTTCCTCCGAGGCTTGCCCCAAAGAGAATGATTCCCAGCGCCCGCGCAAACCGCCCCCTTCAACGTCTGCGCGCGTTCAGCAAGTTTCTTTTTACCCGGATAGCTCGCAGATAGAAAAGAGCGTTCTACAGTTAGAAGCTGAGCCGCAGGGCAGCCCTAGACCCGTTCCGGCGGCGGTCCAGGCCCCCAGAGAGCCGTGCTCGACCATGCAGCGGGCCCCCAAGGTTCTTGTCTAAACGTCACCCAATACGCGTGTCCCGGGGCTCCCAAGAAGAGCCTTCTGAAGTTTCCCCAGGTCCGTCCACAGCTTTTCGCCCGTCTTTTCCACGCTTCTCGGGCGCTTTGCTATCCGGGCTTCGGCGCGTTCCCAGAAAGCTCGCAAAAAATTGCACGACAAGAAACCAGAACGGCAGGATTGCCCTAGAGCTACCTTCAGCGGCGAGCAGAGTTCCCCGCCCCAGGCTGCTCGAACTTGCAACGCCTTCCAGCAAGCCCACGATTCAGCGTTTCCCAGCACGCGCGCCCGGGAGCTCTGCACCGGCTTTTTCCGAAGCGCACTCCAGGACCTCGCAGAGCCATCGCCGAGTTTTCCACGCCTCCCGGGCGCCCTGCTATCGAACACTGGGAGCCAGCGGTAAACCGTCAACCAGGCTACCGCCGGGGATCTCGTAGAGCTTCTTACACACATAACAGCGCCTTCAATGCGGACAGTAAGCTCGCTGGAATTTCAATTTGGATTGTTTCTTTACCCCCCCCCCCCCAAAAAAAAAAAAAAAAAAAAATCAGGTTTCCACAGGAAGCGATTTCAACAAAGATCTTTCAGTTACGCATCGGATGGAAACCTGAAAAATTGCAAGCGAACGCGACAGAAAATGCTCCAGTAGCCAAAAAAATCCCCGAAACGAAATGCCAAATCAATGATACTCCTGGGAAAACCTTCATTCTCTTTCCAATCACTGACTTTCCAGGACGGCCCCTGGAAGTGAATCGATAGAAATGCTGCCGCTGCAGCCCTGAGACTCTGACCAGCGAACGCAGCGCGATCCAATGTTCAGTAGAACGATATTGCACGTTATTACGACTTGTCAAATCTCACACACTCTGCCAAAACAAAAAAAAAATGATTTTCCCTTTAACTCGAAGTCCTCGCGGGCGCCGTGCTATCAAACATTTCCGCGGAAAGCCCCCTGCGGGGTCTAAAAGAATCGGGGCGACGCTGGACAGCAGGATTAGCGCATGTTTGTCCAAAGGCTCCGGGCAGGCCCCCCCGCAAAATCTTGCACGACGTCGCAAAGCGTCCACACAAGTACTTCTCCAGTAAAGCACCTGGAGAGTACCTCGTAGAGTTCTTCGGCATCGATGGGCGAGAAGAATGACTTGTAGATCTTCCCTACGAGCGAAGTGGCGAAGCTAGAGAGTAACGACACGCAGAGCTTCCCGAAGAGCGTTAGCGGCGAAGCTAGAGAGTACCTCGCGGATCTCCTCGGGGTCGATGAGTTAGAGGAATTCCAGGGCGGGGTGAAGCCAGTTGACAGACTCGGACAAGGACCCGCAGAGCTTTCCAAAGAGCAAATCAGCGAATTACTCGACGCGCGGCTCCCCATATGTGCACCTCATTCTCTTGGTACGTCTTTCTCTTGATATCTGTCAATGAGCGCCTGTGTGCGAGGGCGAACCGCTCGCTCGAGACATTCCCACAGTCTGCAAGCATGAGTGCGACCAATAGCAAATATGCGATCGACTGATTCTGAGTGTGAGTTAATCTGGGTGCGATTGATCTTGGGTTTGAGTGGGTATGCGCGTGAGTAAATACGAGCGCGAGTGCGTCTGTGTGCGAGTGGGTCTGAGCATGGACGAATCTGAGTGTGAGCCAGTCTGTGATTGAGCGGATCGTAGCATGATGAGTCTGAGCATGAGTGAGTCTGGGCTTGAGTGGGTCTGAGCGTGCGAAAAAGTGTGTGCTAATGAATCTGAGTGCGAGTGAGCCGAGTCTGATTGGGTATGGATGTGAGGCAGTCTGAGTGTGAGTCGGTCTGCGTTCAAGCGGACCGAAGGATGATGAGTCTGAGCAGGAGCCAGTCTGAGTGAGTATGAGTGGTTCTGAGCGTGAGTCTGAGTGTGAGTAAGTTTAAGTATGGATATGAGCGAGTCTAAGTGCGAGTGAGCTCGCGCGTGACTGAGTCTGAGTATGAGTGAGTATGAATGCAGAAGAGTGAAGGAGATCGGAGAGCGAGGCAGAAGCGTTTGAGTAAAACTTAAAGTGTTGGAGCATTTGAACCTCGATCGCCTGGCCCTGGCTACTCGAGTTGCCCACGTCCTCCTCCTCCTCCTCCTCCTCCTCCTCATCATCATCATCATCCACTTCCAGCTTCTGCTCCTACCGTGTTCATGCTGTCCTCCTCGTCCTCTTCCTCCTCCTCATCGCTTCCTCCTTCTCTTCCTCCTCCTCCCCCTCCTCCCCCTCCCCCCCCTCTCCCCCCTCCTCCTTGGGAGTGCTGAAACCAGCAAATCGCCTGAGACATCCCCCCAAAACTGCTCCGAAAACGACAGATACCCAGCATCATAACGGCCAAACCGCCTGAGACACCCCCGCAAACTGGGCGCGAACGCCCTCCAAATCTGCTCCGAAAGCGAAACATGTTGGAAGAGAGAATGGCCAAACCGCCTGAGACATCCCCACAAGATCCCGCGAAAGGTGCCGAGTGAAATACCCCCCCGCCGCTCCCCTTTGAGTGCTGAAACCAGCGAATCGCTTGAGACATCCTCCAAATCTGCTCCGAAAGCGAAACATGTCGGAAGAGAACATGGCCAAACCGCCGGAGACATCCCCACAAAATCCCGCGAAAGGGGCCGAGTGAAATACCCCCTCAAAACCCCCCCCCCGCCGCCCCCCCTAGAGCGCTGAAACCAGCGAATCGTTTGAGACATCAAGCGACGTTGCAGCGATCGTTGTTTCACCGATCGTCTATGCAATCAGGGGGGCGAGGATGAGAGCAGTGGGGAGGCCACGGCACGTTCCTACAGAACACGCTGTCCCAAACAGTGCAATCTCAAAGGCGCGTGCTTCTGCGACATGTATGCGGCGCAATCGATGGCGCCGATCCGAGTGCACCGCAACAGGATGGCTCGTTGAAATGATGTTCGGGCCATTGCGGTGCATTTGAGGGGAGAGGGGCCGCGGTGAGGTGGCGACGGGCGGCGACGGCGACTACCGAGGCACTGAACCGAACGTGGAATTCAGACGACTAGCGAAAACAAAAAAGACATGGCCACGACGACGCGGGATCAAAGGGGGGCCAGAAGACAAGCGACGACGAGACGGCAACAATAAACAGCAAACCGCCAACGAGCTGAGTTCCCGAATTCTGAAGTGGCAACTCTTCTGGGGACCGATGGAAATACATGGCCATCGGCGGGCACAGAAACACACCATGAACCAGAGGGGGCAAGGTGATTGCCACGTACGCCAAGCACGCACAACAACGAACACAAGACGATATTAATTTTATCACCGCCTGTGCGTTTTTTGGAGCTGGGCCGTTTCTCGTGAACATCCGCGGGACTCCGCTCGCCAACCAAAACTCTGCTCCTTACGTCTTCCGTTCCCCCCTTGTATATATGATTATGATGGCCACGCGTTCCGCGATATATGACCAGTGGAAGATCACCGCGCCTGCGCAACGACGCTTCCGACGCGCATTATGTCGGGCTGTCTATGTGGATATAATCGTGCTCACGGATACAACGCGAGGAGCACTTCTAATCGCGGTGAACTCGCTGACGCTGGCGTGGACGCACGAAAACATTACGACGCGCATGAGGAGTTGCGCTGAACACGCGGATGTTGATTTTTGAGTCAAACGTGTTTGGCTAAAACATGCGTCCGCGTTTAAATTAATTTCTACGTCTAAAATTAAACGATCCGTTTAATTTAAACGCCGGGGAGCTAGTACCTCGCAGAGCTCTTCGGCATCGATGAGCTAGAGGAATTCCGGCGCGGGCTGCAGTTAGTAATTGCGATCCGGCGGTAAACCGTCAACCAGGTTCCTGCCGGGAGCCTCGTAGAGCTCTTTTCTCGCACGGCGCTGCTGGGCATACATGGGTGTAGCTTTCTTACGCAAGGGCTGAGAAACTGAAAAATATTCATTTTTAGTGTTCACCGAAAGTCGGTTCCTTCAAATGTTTTGTAGTAATATTCCAGCTACGGACCCGAGAATTTCACTGGCAGACGCGGCAGAACCCAGTATAGGTGCGAAAAATACTGGTTCTCGAAAGGAGCGTTCGAATCTCTCACAATGTTCGCCCAACAGGCCCGAGGTTCCCACATTGTCCGCCCGGGCCGGGTGGGTCAACCAGCTGCACCCCGCGCCGGAATTCTTTTAGCTCATCGATGCCGAAGAGCTCTACGAGGTACTCGTAGAGCTTCCCTGAGCTAGTTGCTGGAAGATGACGAGGAACTCGCAGAGCTGCCCTTAGCTAGTTGCTGGAAGCTTAAGAGTAATACCTCGTAGAGCGTTTCGGCATCGATGAGCTAGAGGAATTCCGGCGCGGGGTGGAGCTAGTAACTCGTAGAGTTTCCCTTAGCTAGTTGCTGGAAGCTTAAGAGTAATACCTCGTAGAGCTCTTCGGCATCGATGAGCTAGAGGAATTCCGGCGCGGGGTGCAGCTAGTAACTCGTAGAGCTCCCCTCAGCTAGTTGCTGGAAGCTTAAGAGTAATTCCCGGAGCGCTCTCTGAGAGCTATAGGCTTTAGATTAGAAGCCGGACGGTGGTGGTGCCTGCCAGCAGCCCATCTTCGCCGCTCCCGAATCCCCGCAGCGGGTTGTTTGGTCGCAGCGGGTCCGGAAGCGCTTCCGGCACGCGTCCACACTGCCTGCACGCGTTCAGGCCCGCGTGGAAGCTTGCCTGGCAGCGCTTCAGAAGCACTTCAGGAAAGCTTCCGAGGGCTCGCCAGGAGAGCATTCCGGTGTGAGCTTCTCTTTTCCGGATAGCCTCCTGGGCTAGATAGGGCTGTCAGAACAGAAGCCGGCGCGCGCGCGTGCGTCGCCGCACCCCTCCGCTCACCACTCCACCTTCCATTATGTGGCCCCTTTGGTTCCGCAGCGTGTCCCTGGGCGCCTGTTCCAATACGTAACTCGTAGAGCTTCCCTTAGCTAGTCGCTGGCAGCTTAAGAGTAATTCCCGGAGGGCTCTCTGAGAGCTAGAGGGTTTTAGATTAGAAGCCGGACGGTGGTGGTGCCCGCCAGGAGCTCCTCCACGGCGGTCCACGTCCGCCGCAGCGCCTCGCCCGAGCCGGCAGCTGGTTCGGGGGCGCTGTCCACGCGTGCCTGCACGCGCGCAGGCACGCGTGGAAGCGTTCCTGGCAGCGCTTCAGAAACGCTGCAGGGGAGCTCCCAAGAGCCCTCTAGGAAAGATTTCTCCTCCCCGATGGTCTCTTCGCTCTCCGGGTTTTGGACGCTACCAAGTTCCGGCTAGATCAAGGCGTCTGGATCAAGGCGCCTGGATCAAGGCGTCTGGATCCCACAGGCGTCTAGCGTGTGGGGGGGGGGCGCGTCGCCGCGGGCGGCGCGGCAGCCATCGCTGCCTTCATCGTCTTCTTCGGGTTCAGCGAGATCGAGGTCAGCTAGGCCGCTGCACTTGTTATTGTTATTGTGTGTGCTAGGCCGCCTGCACTTGTTATTGTTATTGTTACTGCTGTAATTGTCTCTTTTCCTGTCACTTGGAAAGACGGAGTGCTGGGGATCCGACTTCAGTCACACTGACTGGGACTATCTAGCCAGACAGGGCGGGACACCTCGAAGTGAGAGGAGAGCTGTTATTTGTGTGCCATCGCTCACACCAACAGTACCGTTTGTGCAGGGTGAAGGCTACGATTTCAATATCTTGCGTAACCACTTCGTGCAGGGTGAAGGTTACGATTTCAATATCTTACGCAGCCACAAAAGAAAGATGGCTGCAGCAGGTTCTTCAGTTTCAGGTGCTGCACCAGCGATGCCAGCAGGTTCTTCAGTTTCAGGTGCTCCAGGCTTGCATGCGACGGGCCAGGACATGACAATTGATGATGGGGGCGGGGCGTTTGCTAGAGCTGTCCGCGCTCGTAAAGTCAAAGGAGGAGGGAAAGGAGAAGGAGGAGGCGCGGGACAAACATTGGGTGCGAATGAGGTTGCCCAGGAAGCTGGCCTTGACATTGAACAGATGTTTCGATCTATCATGACGGGACAACAGACTATGACGGCAGACATGCAATCGTTCAGGAACTCTATTCGTACGGAAATGGAGGGTTTGAAAACATCACTGGACTCCAGGGTCTCGAAAACAGAGTCGGCGATCCAGGACCT